TATATCCTGAATAATTTTAAACAAAATTACCTTGATAAAAATATTAAGCTTAAGATTAAAAATATAATATGATGTTAATCAAATCTAGTTATAGGTACGTGTATCAATATAATAATATTATGTTACTGTTTTCGGCATATTATATTAATCCATCACAGATCCATTGTTTGTATGGTAATGTGTTCATAACTTTCGCTTTGTTGTCCAATAACAAAATCTATTTAATTAATTTAATTACTTTGAAATTACCTCGATACATATTAAGCAAAGCTAATCGAAAAATGATAACTAGGTATAATGTTGAAACGTTAATCATAATTGAGTTTTTGATGACCTTTGCAATTAATATTTTTTTAAGGTTATAACTATAACAGATACAAATTATTACATTGTTGATGAAATCGTGTAAATTATGCAGCAGTATGGATGTTATGTTCTATAATACATATGTCTAATAATTTATGACCATCATTCGTTAAAATAAAAATATTTAATTAGTTACCTATTTACTTCAATAGCGTATAACTGTAACAAATTTAACATTAATTTTCTACAAACTCGGCATACACTGTACTTGTGACTCCACGGGCGTTTATATTTTATATAAAAACATGAATAACAATTGTATACGTATAAAATGCAAAAATGAAATTTATTTTTATGATTTGATTTAAAAGCGATATTTTTAAAGCAATTAAATTCGTATTTCTGTCTTAACTTTTGCAAAATTGGCCTAACGAACTGGCAGAATATCAAAATATTAGTCAGACCAGTTTCCGGAAAACTCGCTTATGCTCTTGTAAACGCTCTAAGTACCGCCACAATTACTCTGGAATTATCCATACAGGTTATAATATCATATAATGTTATTTTATGTGCACAAAAGATAATGTTTTCACCTTGAACGTTCGATTGAACTACCATCTTGGAACACACCACTCTTATTATAGGTGGTCAATTAAATTGAGTTTATGTATGCGCGTGTATGTATGACGTAGGTACATAAATGGTAATTATTATATTAAATTTAAATAAATATGTTAATTTATTTATTTTTAGACATAGGTACTGGTTTGCTTTAGAAAGGGAGGTACTAAATTATTTAATTAAATATAACAGAATGCATATTTTAGTATCGAGTAAATGAGAGGAACGAGAAATTCAWTTTTTTTCAAATTYCAAAAATTGTYTAGGTAATATTATTAAAAAAATACTTATCTACTTAAACTGGCCAAAACGGATGTACCTAATATTATGCATATTCAATGCAATAAATAATTTTTGTTCGATTACCAAATGAATTATATACATATTACTTTTAACATATAATTACTGACTTTTCCATCGTATCTTAAATAATACTTAATAAAAATATTTCTTGTATATTATAATTCTGCTTTGTAATTATATCTATAGTTAGGTGCTCAGTTAATCGAAAACATATAGACGCACATCAACCCGTGYCCAACCATTTCAAATTTTTGAAAATCTTTCCCAATATTTAGTATGTAATTTGGATGAATTTCTACGACTGTTTTCAAAATATGTATGATCTTGAATTCCCCGTTATAGAACAAAAATCCTAACCTAATTTAAACCTAACGAATGAGTTTATAATTTTTAACCTTGGGTGGGGCTGAAATCACATTACCCCAGCCCCACCCATTATTTTTGTTCTATAACTGGGAATCCAAGATCGTACAAATTTTGAAAACAGTCGTACAAATTCATATAAATTACATACTAAATATTGGTAAAGAAAATGTTCAAACATTTGAAATGGGTGGGRACGTGGGGTCGAGTTGATGTTCGAAACATATAGGTATAAATGTACAATGAGCAATAATTTAGRTTTTAAAATATATATTAATAATTGTAATTTTATATTTTTCAGTTGACTATTGTGTTGGGGTTGACTATCTTAAGTGTAGCCAACTATGGAAATACTTATGAGTTTTCTGGACAACTAAAACCAACCATTAAACCATTTTCTACAACGACAAACCAAGTAAATTAAACGTTAATGATTTTATTATTTTGTGTGCACAAATACTTACGATTGCAATTGTAAATAGCCATATCAAGGAAACCAATTCAAGTCAGCATTCGGATACAATAGTGTTCCTGCAAAGCCCTTCGGATCACCATTCGAACACTTTAAACAGTCATACCAACCTTACCAACCGTACCAACCGTACCAACCATTCAGGGCAAATTATCAACCGTTTGGACCTTATCCTGGTTACCCAGGGCCTGTTGTATATCCCGGTCATGGTAGTTATCAAGGACCAGAGGCTTACCGTTTTAATGAACCCAATCAGAAGCCATTTGGATTCCAACCATTCCCAGCACCAGCGCCGCCAGCGTTCAATCAATACAAATTTGGACCAGCGAAAAAATTCAATAAAAATTTCCCAGGACTCACCGATTTCAATCAACCTGGCAAATACTTCCAAGAACACCAATTTGGRGCATATCACGGACCCGAATTTTCTTCTGCCATTGTGCCTGCAGAACACAACATTAAGCAATCAAAACCTAAGGAAACGTTATTAGGCAAGCCAATTGAATTCGGATTACCTAAACAAACCAGCTTTGGATTCCCTTCTCCACCATCATTCGGATATCCAGTACCAAACTTCCCACCAATTCAGGTATGACAAAAATTATTAAAAATAAAACATACTATAAGTATGATATTAAATTGCATGAATCCAATTATACAGGAGAGGGCCCTCGAGTGCTTATATTTTTATAATCTCAGACCACTAGACTCATTTCCCTCTTAGAAGTTGTGTAACTTTAAGTGTAGAATTTTACTTACACGTGCTTACTCGTTATTATAATTTGATTATATTTATACATAATATGACACCWACCTATATAATTCCTGGAACAAATTTTTTTTAAATTTTTAAATTAACTTTGTTTTTTGTTAGTTTCAACCATTAAATTATACAGTTCATACTTCATATAAATGGTACATCGTAGTAGGAATATCTCATTTTGAGTAGGTTTATATTTGTTTTTATTAGTACAAATTTCAATTCTCTATTACGATTCGTATTCATGATGGACGTATAATGTTATTATAGTAAAATTATTAAAAAGTGTGTCATACGAAAAAKAAGTCTTTGTTGCAACTCACGTGATGCACCAGYTTGATATTTTTTTACTCGCCGAGGATAAGCTGTAGTTTTTAATTTTAATTTTCACATCACATTACACAAAAATCTTTCATGTTGACCTATTCCACCTCCGCGCTGTCAGGATTATGACGATCCATTTTAAGTGGTTTTTTTTTTTTACAATGCGTAATAGATATAATGAGATTAATAACATTAGCTGTAATGCTTATTTGTATTGTATATTATTATATTATTTACAATTAAATTATATATTATATTATATATTTATACTATAAATTTTATAGTTTGTTGAGCACAYTAGGAATATATTATGTATACAGTATATAACAGGACTATTTAACAAATGAAGGAACATTTGTTATAGAAATCTGTTAAATAGTACTGTTATACGTCTTATATCATATTTAATCTATTTTACAAAAATTAAATAACAATTATTWTTTTTTTTTTTATCATTGTTGATCAAAAATTTCAYTATAGCCATTTATTTATCCAAATTTGTTGACAATAGACAGTTTATAATATAGGGATACATAATATCAAATTACATTATTATTGTTTTATATATTATGTACATTGGAAAATGTAATTTCTAAATTGGGTTGTCCAGCCAGTTCTTAATGTAAGCCAGATCTCTATAAGGTCACTATGATATATCTGGTCCTAAAAAAATATTTATTTATTTAAATACATAGATTGTCAGTATACAATTGATTTACGAAGATTTGTTTTTTTCATAATTAATATGAAAAGTTTTCTGTATGCTCATATAAGAATGAAAAATCAAACATAAATCAGTATAGGTATATATATATATTAGAAATGTTTGATAAAAGTATGAATATTCAGATCGTCCGGTTCGAAAATTTTTAAATATTTTTAAACCATCATTGTGCTTTTTAAGCAATAGAATCTGTATTCATAATTTAATACCAACATTTAGGTACATTTAGGTATACATAAACAAAATAAGCTAATATAGATAAAATAAAAATATAATTTTCAGCATGACGTTTATATTTCAATAACCTGTATAAGTCAAATGCATTTTCTGCTGAATCATGTTGCCTAACCCACTGCTCGTTGCTCCATATGATCACTATACTGTTGTATACTTATATCAACCAATATTAGCGTATAATATATAAGATAGACATTAAATTAAATAAGAGTTAGAGAACTCAAAACCTAAAAAATGGAAAATGGAATATTCAAAGTATTGACATAACTACTCGATGACTGAATAATTAACTTTTATACAATTTAGTTGAATTTACTAAAACATATAGRTATTATCCGTAAATCATTTGATTTATTTATTTAGCCCTCTTGTAAATTATTTCATTAAAATAATGAGAACAAACATAATGTCGTTCAGTTAGAAACTACTGTAGATGAGATCTAAGCCCACTTCCTTTAACAGAAAGGACAGACTTAGTCACGCCAATGAAGATATAAACGCAGGGTCTGCATAAGTAGTTACATGATAGGTCGTTTTAAATATAATATTCATAATAATTATAACACCAAAAATACAGTGGAATTTATTACCGACTGATAATATTATTATTGTTTCCCATAATATTTTATAATATAAGTGTTGCGGTTTTGTTGTTTAGCCTTTCGTSAGCACCGTGCCATCAGTAAAAAGCGTACCAGCTACACTCGTCCCGGTGAACGCCGTTAAGATCGAACAAAAATTTGGAGGAGCCGAAGCCACTACCTCGGTCGTCCCGTCGTCGTCGGTCCAAGACGATTCGGTAACGGTTGAACAGCAATCCGCAGAGGTCACGAGCGAACCATCGGCAGTGACGCCCGCTGCGGACGCCCAGACCGCCAGTCCCGCTCAGGAAGAAGTCACTTCCGGTGTCTCCTCAGATGTCCAAKCACCAGCCACCGAAGTGACGAGCGACAATGAAGCGCCCGCCGCCGAAGTGACAAACAACAATGAAGCGCCCGCCGCCGCCGCCGAAGTGACGAACGACAATGAAGCGCCTGCCGCCGCCGCCGAAGTGACGAACGACAATGAAGCGCCCGCCGCCGCCGCCGAAGTGACGAACGACAATGAAGCGCCYGCCGCCGCCGCCGAAGTGACGAACGACAATGAAGCGCCCGCCGCCGCCGCCGAAGTGACGAACGACAATGAAGCGCCCGCCGCCGAAGTACCAAACAACAATGAAGTGCCCGCGGCTCAGGACGCCGCACCAGCCCAAGAACAAAGCGCCGCACCGTCGTCRGAGAGCAACGAACCCAGCAACGTTGGCAGCGAGCAGACCGCATCCGTTCCGGAAACACAAGACTCCGCGGTCCAGGAACCCAGCCCCGTAGTGGTGGCCGAAGAAGTAAAGGATACTTCYAGCGCCTCACCAGCTCAGGCTTCAATCGAATCCAGCGACTCGTCCACCGTCAGCGGGCCGGCGAAATCCGAGGCAGTCGCATCTGACAACAAACCCGTGACCGGGTCTGAAGCCGGTAAGTCGGGGTTGATTTATTTTACTCTACTCTACGATCAGGACGTTTAGKGATGACGACTTTGAACATTTCGCGAATWACTTAAAGAGACATTTATGAGGCACAAAATCTCTTAAAAATATATGATATGATATAATAGGTTGTATTGTTTCTATGTAGGTATATTGATGGGTATTGTCRTAACTAATTAATACTTTACTGACTAAAAGGCTCAGTCTTGCATTCAAAATATACTTTTTTGATATTTCAAATACTTCTCAAATAAATTTTGACAAGTGTATTTTAAATAGGTATCATTTAAGAGAACTTTTTCTTTACATTTTATTCCAGAATACTAAATACTATTTTTCTTTCTACAGTTGTATTTCAACGACCAATATTTTTGGTTCTTGTTTTACTACTTTAAAAATTATTCGTAAAATAATATTTATAACGCTTTTAAAAATTTAAAAAATTTCATCATACTCATAGATGTCACATTAGTTAAAATGTTTATCTACCGGCCTATAGTTAAAGTTTAACTTGACAATATGGMATATGCTAGCCATGTGATATTTCAAATTCTCAAACCAATAATTGATACTGTATTCTTATTTCACATTTCTTAAAATAATTATTTCACGATATTCGTGACGAACGCTCAAATATTTTAATATACAAAATAAAATACGTACTTTTTAAGTATTTTGAATACTTTTAAAATGTATTTGTATTTATATTCAATTACTTTTGAAAGACAATACTCAAATAATTCGTATTTCAAAGATAAATGAACTCGAATATTTAAATGCGTATTCTAAATACATTTGAAAAGTGTTTCCGACAAAACTGCAGTCATAGTTATCGAAAAGTGCTTTTTACGAGCATATACAACGTAAATGCATTTTGAATTATAATAATTAYAACCACTAAGTCGCATTGACTTTCATGGATAATATTATTTAAATGAATCGGTCACATTCAAAAGTTTAATTTAAAATTATTATTATTTGACGCCCGACAAAACGCGTCGTCATTTTGGAGTAATTCGCCACTGTAGTTGCTTGCAAATATTAACATTTTCTACGGTAATTTCAAATTCAATTAAAACCCAATCTCGTACAACATAATATAATAACATAAGACTCCTCRCATGTCTATTCTATTATTATATTTTATTATGAAGTCAATTAAAACAGTCGAGTTGACCGCTGGCGTTCAATGACTTACGAAATATGCATTCACAAATAATTATTACAAAGATGATCACCTCCAGTGCGTAATATTATTATTTAATGAGGCCAATGTACCGTTTTTGAATTATTGTTTATATTTTCTTATAAAATAATTGAATATTATTATATTGTTCAAATACAAAAAAAAAAACTGGCAAGTTTGACATGTCAGGTCCTAAATACGCCGCGGTAAATATGATTAATCTTTGTTGGCACGGTTTTATGCGTCATAATGATATTTGTGCGTAAATTCATTAAAAATTTGATGAGCATCAGCGATTGTTATCATATTTACAATATCGATCGTGAAAACTAACAGTGTGAATGACTAAAAAATACAATAATATATAATATTTTTATTATCATTATAAAATGATTATTTTAATAAATTAAGATTTCGTACGATAATGATTAATCTTTATAGCTCGCGGTGTTATATTTTATTCATGGGCTTACTTTTTGTGAATTTGAATAAATTCATAATAATCATGATTTTAACAAACAATCTATTCAGTATTCACCACAAAAGATATATTATTATTATTATGTTCAAAGATCGTTGTCCAACAATATTATTTTGATGACTGTTTTTGTTAATTTCACATTATATATTTGAAGACAACGAAAGCTATAAAATATGCTTATCTTGATCCCATACAGTGAACTTGCCTGGTCTACCCATCGAACTGCAGAACACTCAATTTGGACCAGTTCCCGTTTCAGACACATCGTCTTTGAGCCAGTTCGGCTTGTCCGGATTCCCGTACTTCGGACAGTCCGCCGGTGCCCAACAACCGTCGTACTACCCCTTCTTCGATGCTCCAGGTTTATCGGAAGAAGAACTGAAGGCATTCACGGCTAAGTTAGCTTCAGAGATCCCRCAGTCGGTACAGGTTTTAGGAGGCGCCGCAAATCCGGAAGTAAACACACCCCAGCAGGGCACCTCTATCAGCAATCCATCTGCTGAAATCGCCACCCTCATCGAAAGCGTAAACGAAGCCAAGAGTCAAAATAAAGCCGTGAGCGACGAGAAACAAAAAACTCCCGATTCGTCAACACCATCAACATTGTCCAGCACCCCAAAAGTACAGTCAAAATTCAACTCCGTACAGATAATCCAAAACGACCCGTTCAACGGACAGTTGCCTTTGTTGTAAGTATACCTACCCTTTATGTATTTATTTGTGTCTGCGGTGGCGTACCCTGCAGTGGGAGAGGTTAGAGGATTATATCTCCACCCTCCTACGTTGACCGATAAACCTCCTTATTTGTGTCTTATATAGATATTACAACCACAATTCATATTTACATGTATATAGTCAAAACATCCTCTCCCCAAACCATAGAAAATTCATGGGCACATGTCCTAGTGCTTATAATATCCATGATATATATTATGACCGGTTCACCTAGTCAATTTTGAGTGACATATTCAACGGAATTTGAAACTCTTATATCGTTGTAAATACATTAGAGAAATACACACCGACATTTAGTCCTCTGAACAAAACACATCCTAAAATGCAWGCAGTTATATATTCTTAAAAACAAACAAAATTGCACTATCTTAATTGTAATTATTTATTATGAAACAATTTTTCTTATTAAATAATACACTAAAATTTATATTCATAACTTTAAGCTTTTTAATTTTTGTGTTCTGAATAGTTTCCAACACGGGGAATAAAATAATAAATGCGGGTTTCTATAAATAAAAAGACGTTGGTCTTGTTTTTATACATTCTGCATGCACACGGTACGAAATAATAAAAACTTATTTTTTTTTTTTAAGTAGTAAGTTGGTTGCTTAAGCGATTTTTATACATTCGTAAAAAAAATAGTGGTAATAGAAAATATTATGCACTTCAACAAACAATGAAATCTCCTAATCTTATTACGTATAGTTGTAACCTGAATGTTGAAATTTATTTATATACCTACACGTTATTATTCAGCAATACATTTAATGAACTSGTATAAAAAAATATTTGCGAATGCAGTTACTTCCGAGCCATACATGTACAGTGGTATGATCATAATATTATAATTTATAATAACATTGAGTATATCGTATGGTAGTATATACTCATATACTCAATGATTACATCTATCTATATCGTGTACGTCAGGGGTGCCAATACARTTATTTATGAAAAGCCGCATTAGAAATCTGGAAATTATGTTCGCGGGTCATCAAAATATTTCTGACGCGTAGGTAAAAACCATTGAACGAAAACAACAATTTACAACACAATAGAATACTTATAATATTATTGTTTTTAAATTATATTTTTTTTTCGTCTTCGGGTCAGATAAAATTTGTCCACCATTTGATGACTCCTAGTGTGCGTCATTATTTTCTCATAGTGCCTTTTCTGACGTTTAAAAATCGTATCTACCTTTTCCAGATATGACCCGTCCAGCGCCGCCTCGCCATTGGACACTTACAAGTTCTACAGCCACCCGTCCGTGTCCGCGTGGTCATCTAAAGCCTCATTGGCCTCTTACTCGCCCGAATCTGCGTTCAGCAACTTCGGATCCCAATTCAATCAAGGATACTTGGTCGAAGGTTCGCCCACGCTGACGCCGCTCACCAAGACTGTCGTGCAATCCGGCCAGACGCCACTTTCAATCTCGTCCCCAGACCATCCGCTCCATAGCCAGGTGTTCAAATATTCGCAATCGTTCGTGCCATATCCAGGACTAGTGTCCGGCAACAACGCCGCTGCTTACCAACCCTCCGACGTGTCGTCGTCTACAGCCACACCAACCGCGGCCTCTGTAACCACAGCCGAAGCCACCGCCGCCGACGTTTCCGTCCAGTCGACTTCCGCCCCGGAAGCCGCAGTCGAGATCAGCAGCAGCTCTCTGGCCGAAGAATCAGCTTAAGGCGTCCACGATTTTCTTCCCGCCATTCCCTTGCTCCCGGAAATGGTCACTTTACTTACTTTCCTCGTTCTTTCTTTAACAGTCCATCCAACATTGCATCTCTTGAATGATCTATATTTGTGCCATGATGTTTGACGACGACTGAACACCGCGGTGATCAGTTCGCAGTACCGATGATCAGCAGGGTTGTCAGTCAATTCCAGGAGACTATATAAATACATAATTTTTAAACCTATTGTAATAAATTATTGAACAATAATTGTTTTATTTTTTTACACAAACGTATTTAAATAAAAACTACTGCGTATACAAAAATAATAATAAAATAATTTTTTTCTTTTAAGCAATTAACACGTTGACTGGTTAGGAAGTAATTATTTTACAAGCACGTCATGAAATGTTTTTTATATATGTATACTATACTTATTGTACATACTTATACTACATTGTATAGGTAAGTATATAAAACACAATATTATATTATACTAGCCGCCTAGCCACATTTAGGGTTCTCGTCACTAAAATACAATATTATAATATTATGTTATACATTACATTATACCATACTCGAATATAAATTAATATGTACCTAGTTTCTAACTACASTGAAATGTGCGCTCGACGTCTAAATTATTATTTTAGGTAGGTACTTGTTTGTTATCATCACATAGTTATCGTGTTTAGCTCGTGATTGATGATCTATTTTGGGAAATATTTTAGGAAATAACTACCCTTTGCAAGACATTTTATATCATATATACTAATATAATATCAAATAATATATTAATACGTTGCTGGCTTTTATTATTATATTACCTACTTCGTTCAGATCAATATTAAATTACAATAATAAAATGAATTTTAGTGAATTACTATATTATGGTTGTTTTCAACAATGATACAGGAATTCAATTTTTATAAAAAAGTAATGTTATTAAAGTGAGTGAAACTTGGTGAAAATGGCCATATAATGATTATTAAGGGATCGTGATGGCAGTGTCAGAAAAGAAGTTGCCGGAAGGAAAAAGGTTTAAGAGTCTTATTTGGCAGAATTTATGTGGAGAATACGTATCGGAAAAAATGATGCATTTGAAACTACGTATATATTAAAAGATATTTTTCAAAAATTAAACATAACAACATACGCAGATTTAAAAAGTCTAATCAAGGAACGCATACAATTAAAATGGCAAACGCACTGATGGCTCAATCAGAAGACCAAACTAAGAAGAATAAAAAACTCAATCTTCAACTGGCCAAATTTCTCTCCGAATAGAAGGGACAAGGTAATTATAAAAATACTACGCATCGGCCACACCCGTCTAACGCATGGATACCTCATGGACAAAGGAGAAAACCCACAATGCACTATGCACTTCTTGTGGAACTGAACTCTCAGTTAACCATATAGTTATCGAATGCCTCCAATATACGCAGATGAACAGAGAAATTTCGAAATACCCAACACACTAGATGCGACCCTCGGACCCGACACAACTACCACCACACAAATCCTTAAATTCCTAAGCAAAACAAATCTGTAT